GAGTTATATTTTAAATATATTTCAGATTTCAAGTTGTTTATTAAATAATAATTGTAATATTTTTTAAATTGTAAATGTGAAACAAGCTGTTAAACGATCTAAAGTCTAAAATATACAGCTAAGGTTTAATTTTGAATGATTTAAACTTGAAGCTTTAAATATCTGAAGATGTCTACTTTATTTGGGTGCATTCCTTTTGGGTCAGAAGGGTGATGACTTGGGTAAAAGTGTTGCTAGGAAGGGAGGGGAGGAGCCTCTTCCTAATGGGAAGTGTTGTCATTGCGGGAGGAGTTGTCATCTTTAATCAGTGTTGTTGGCATTCATTGTGTCATTTAACAGCCAACAACTTCMATCTGCAAATTAACAGATTAACAGAAATTTCTCACTGTTTATCAAAGAGTCTGTATTTGTTTTTTATTCAGCTGATGCACTAACTTTGTTCATCATCTTTAGATATTGGCAACTTTGTTTTGTTTACATCACCRGTCACATGGTTTAACTGATGATCGAATAAATGCATAATACTGTATATTTGACACACAGTAACACAGTAACACGTCAAGTAAAGCAGAAACAACTCAAAACAATTAAACACCTGAGAGAGAGAGAGAGAGAGAGAGAGAGAGAGAGAGAGAGAGAGAGAGAGAGAGAGAGAGAGAGAGAGAGAGAGAGAGAGAGAGATTACCTCTCTTGTTTTTTGTTCCATGCTTCTTAGCTGTAGCTATTTCTTGTTGTATCCTGTTCTCCAGATATTCCTGCTTCTTGGTCAACATTTCCTCTGTCTCCCGGAGCCTGTTGATGGCCTCCTGGGGAGACGGATCTCCCTTCGACCGATGATGATGATGACGAAGATGATGTTTGGACTTTGAAGAGCTGGGTGAGCTCGAGCTGCTGGATGAGCTGCCTTTGAAAAGCTTCGAGATTTTACTCATTTTAGCAGCTTTCACAGCAAACCGCGAGTAATGAAAAAATAAAAAATAAAACACAGGAACTCGAGAAAGTCAGAGAAGAGCCCGCGCGCCCTACTTCACTGGCGGCCGAGTTGCAGAATTTCCAGCTCGACGGCTTTTCAGTTCAAACCAGACAGTGCAGTGAACGCACCTGTAGGCACACCTTGTGACGTCAGAGCGTCAAGTTCCAGGCCTCGCTGTTCTCCTYTCGGCCAGCCCCACTGAACAGCCTGTGGACATCAATTATGAGTCCGCATGAACCTGCAACAACAAATATTTAGTTACCAACAATGTCATGGAAATTTATGTTAAAATATTAAATAAAGTTTATAAATGTAAGTAAGTAAGTAAGTAAGTAAGTAAGTAAGTAAGTAAGTAAGTAAGTAAGTAAGTAAGTAAGTAAGTAAGTAAGTAAGTAAGTAAGT